AAGAAAAGGATAAGGAAAGAAAAAAAAAGTTGAGACGAAAATTTCAGAAGTTAAAAAATTTTTTAATTGCAATTTTTTGTCCGCCTCTCTTGCTTTTTGTTTTCTTCTTTGCACCACACTATTTCGCAAATTCACTATCTCTCTGCTGCTGGCCTTTTGCCATCAACTTTCAAATGCCAATTTATTATTTCCCTCATCTTACGTTCACTTTTATTTGATTTTTCTTTGATAACTTTCGAGCAAAAACAAAACAGAAAAAAAACTTCCTTTAACAAATGTATAGAAACAATTTTTTTTGAAGCTAAACAGATCAATACTTTCATATTAATAAAAAAAATTATTATTTTTTTTTTCAGCAAATTCCTCCATTTGCCGAAATCGTTTTTGTTTTTTTTTTATCGTACTTTTTGTTATTTCGCATGTGAGCTGAATCTATCAGAGTTAAAATAATGAACAGCCAGTGGAATGGCTTTCTGACTACCACAAATATACTCCCAAAGTCAGTATTGCTTAAAATTTTTTGAGGTTTTTGTAACGTTCACAAAAAACTAAAAACACCTCCATTTGCTGCCGACAGTGCTTTTTTGTGGTAATTGATCTTTGTTCAACAAACAAGTGTATTTTTGTAGACGACATTGCAGAAACAAGAAAAAACAAAGAGAAGAATCTTCAAAAGAGCATTTTTTAAACTAGTCTAAAATTTGCTGTTTTTCCTTTTGAGAATATTAAAAGCGAAAAAACTTGAAAAGCAAAAATTTAGAAAAAAACGTCTTCTTTATTGAAAAAAGGGATAAAGGAAAAAGAAATGCCAAGTAAAAAAAGGATTCATTTTTTCCTATTACATTTTTAACAAATGTTAGTTAGACTTATTTAATTACCTTTTGTCATCACTTTTTCTGCTCCTTCTTTTCTTTCCCCCTTCCAGCCCCCTATGTTCCAGCCTCTCTTTTGTGTTCTGTTCCTAAAAAACGAGAAAAAAAAGAGGAGAAGAGAAATGAAAAAAATGACAGTAGATAGAAGCAAACACAGATTACACTTCAGTTGTGCAACTGCAACAAGAACGAAGAAGAAAGAATGATGGATATAGGGTAAAAAAACGTTTTTCTACATATACATCTAGCAAATGTATACATACACTCGTCAAGAATCCGATTCAGCGAGCTGAGTGTACCAGAACCAAAAAGCGAATAAAAGAAGAATAACGAATTATTTGCGAAAAAAAAGATAGAAAAGAAAGAATGTGCCATTTAAAATATGAACAAAACTACAATGATCCATAGTTGCTAATAAAACCTTCCTGACAGCATATTTGTCAGTATCATCATTATTGGTACTATCATTACCACCATCATCAACATCGTCATCATCATAGCCGCCATCAAACGTCAAAACAAGTACCGTTAAGTTTTAGGCGAACATACAATAAAAAGTGAGAATATCAAAGCAAGAAGAGAGAAGAAGACACAAAATTCTTTAGCCAATATAAGGTACAGTTGAATTACCAACTCAGTTATTTTATAGATAAAACTAAACAAAAAATCTGTCTGAATGCAACAGCATTCAATTGCATGACAACAGAGCAAAACACTTGATTACCAAAAATTTTTAACCTTTCTCTTTCAACTTTCTTTATCTACTTTTTATTGATTAAAGTGGTTTTTTTTAACTGATAAAAACAGTTTAAAAAAAATGGATTGAAAAATCGAGAACAAGGCACTGTTCTGTAGCTGAAGAATGAAAACAACCAACCACCATATGGTTTGGTTGGTTGGTTGGCTGGTTGGTTGGGGGGGTTAGTTAGTTAGTTGGTTGGCTGGTTGGTTGCCCGTGAGGACAACTCGAGGATGGTATCAATGAGCGGCAGTGGCAGCGGTTGTGCCCGCTGCTGTTGCTGCTGCTATTGCTGCTGCAGCGATGCGCTAGGCGGATACGGGAGTGTGTGAAAAAGGGGACTGAAGAAGAAACGAGGCAAAGGAAACGAAGAGGCAATGAGAGGAAAGGCGGGGACGGGGATAAATAGAGGTTGAATGAAAACTGTCACACCAATACTTTGTCAGCTTTTCCGCTTAGACAATT